GAGCAGGGAGTCTTGGTGTACGTTCAAGCGTTTGCTTTCTTCCTCTAAACAACAGTCGCTTCCGGCCGGACCGGATGGGCGCGGGCAATCCTGTTTAGACTCCCGAGCATGATACTGACACGAGTAGGTATCGAAGCGGTCTTACTGGTTTACGATGCTGGCGACGCTGATTCATCTGAAAAAATCAGACTGCCTGCACGAGCCTTCTGCCAAGCCGCCCGGTGACGTTTTTTCTTCTTCGCAGTTGGCTGCAGGGCTTGCAGCCCAACGTTGAGGGATTTGCTCTCTGCGAGAAGGTCCTGGCCATTAACGGAGACAGCACAAAGACAAGCGCCACACCATCGGTGAGGGCCCGTAGCAACAGCACAGGTACTGACAAGGCCCTTGCTCACTTACAAGGTCTGCAGACGTCCACCAGGCCTGCAGCTGCTTGAAACCAACCTGCTACGCAAGCTCGTACTGTGCTTACCACTTCAGAAAGAAAACGCTACTCTTGATGAGTGGTACTCGTGCATTCTGACTGAAGACAAGCTTCTTCAATAGTTGCTGCCAGCTTCACTTCCTGCTGCTGGAGAAGCTCCTCATGACAGGCAGGTGCTCTCTGCAACTTCACTGTCACGATGTTGAGTCTCCGAAATTGTGGGATGGGCGAGAATCATCACTGACGTAGACTTGGAAATAGAAATCGAGGAGTTTCGTGCAGTTGTTTGTTGTCAATTTGTGCCAGTTGTTAGTTGTTTGGGGCGCTGCGAAACCAATTCTTTCGGATCACAAGCCCCAAGACTGCCTTTCGTTAGCATCGCTCGCCCGTCGAAACCTACTCAGGCCCAGCTAGGCCAGCAGGACTCCCCGGACGGCACGAGAATTGAACACTGGCAGGGAAAAGACTCTGCGAGCCAAAGTGCCCGCACGACAGCAGCCGATGCTGGCAGCTTGGCCTCTGCATCAGAGCCACAACGGCCATGAGGAGCAACGCTTTGCTTTGCGGCATGCACATCGTGCTCAGCCTGAGGCCTTCTGATCCAAGTCCAGGTGGATCTCAGCACCAAGGTCCGGCAACCGCTCCGAGATTTCGATTCGAGGGCCAACGAAGCCCGTGCCATCCATTGCGAACAGATCGGGGGACTGTGAGGTCGGGGTCGACAAGAAGCGAATGATGCAGCTCTGTGCCTCTATGCAGTCAGAGTGCAGCCTAGTGAGCGGCAGGGCTGCAAATCGGTCGGAAAAGATGAACTAGTGAACTAGTGGATGCAGTCTTCAACATTTTGACCCCGCGGCATATTTACAAGTAAAGTAGCTGTCGTTCAGAAATCTTTTTCTCCATGGAAGGCACCGGCGTCGTGGACTGACCACTGCTCCAAGTGCTGTCGTCAAGATGTTGCTGCCTGAAGGTGGATCTTTGAAGATTGCTGTCGCCTGCGTCTCTGCCTCGGAAACTCTTCGAATCGAGGCTTTCGGATCGTTCTCGAAACAGACATAAGCGGAGCACTTTGCGAATCTGAGACGGCTACGAGGCGAAAATCGCTGCCTTGGAGGCCGCTTCATTCGGTCCACATCGTCGTGCCTGAGCATTCCGAGCTGAGGGTGTCGCCCTTCACTGCCATCTTTTCAGAAGTCAATTGCTCACCCTTGAAATTGCTGTTACTTGCAAGCAAGCTGCGGCATCAAGTAGTTTGCGTCTTTGAAGGCAATGCTTCAGCATGCTTCAGCAGCTAATCATCTGATCGAAATTGATGGAAATTGATGGAACTCCAGGGCGTCTTGATGCCTTTGCTGGAACTCTGGAGTCGCACGGAGGCCCTTCAATCCGGGCAAGCCCCAGAACGTAGCCTGGGTGCGGCGTCGAAAGGAGAGCTGCCGCTTGATGACGCTGATGCTTCGGTATGGCTTCGCTCAATCCAGAATCTTCGGAAATCATTGGATTGGAGTCCGCCAGTTGCCTTGTGTGTCAGAATCATGCTTGCACCAAACAGTGGCTATGTGAGCTCGGCTCAATGAGACTGAAGTTCTGCAAGAATCAATGCGTTGTTTCACATGGCCAATGCAATTGGATGCTAAGACCTTGGCAGGAACAGTGAGGCACAACACTTTTAATCGGTGTTCTCTTCGATCGATGCTCAGAGCATGATCCGTGATCGCAAAGTCAGGCGCAGCCTGATAAGTCGGGAACGCCTTCAAAAAGTGTGCGCTTTGCTCGACACCTCTGTCGAACTCTCCCACGGGGAGCATTAAAGGATCGTGGCGGTCAGGTAGCTCGTTGCAAGCTTGAAAGAAAACGCCTAGTTGAAACACATCTCATTCTTTCACATGGTCAATGCAACTGGATGCTAAGAGCGAGGCACAACACTGAGCATGATCCGTGATCGCAGTCAGGCGCAGCCTGATAAGTCAGGAACGCCTTCAAAAAGTGCGCGCTTTGCTCGACACCTCTGTCGAACTCTCCCATCTCCCCATCATACTGCGGAGTCCATTTTCACTCTCATGACAGACCACACGACAGGTTGCCCGAAAAGGTCGAACTTCACCCGGTCAATACGGGAGAAGACCGGCAAAAAATTAGTCTGCTGGTAGGGTGCGTCGTGCAACTGCCACGCATGCTGGGAGAGGGCACACCACCGCTGTTGGCGGGACAACTGCTTCAGATCAAACAACCGCTTAGCGCGCAAGACTCCGACCTGCCCTTGACGTATATACTCGCGAGCCGACCGCTCGCGCAGCCAGCGACCGAAGAGGAGGATGTCAGCTAGGGCCATACCCTGCCGCGCCAGCTTCGTGGCCCCTGATCTCCCAAAACTGTGTGTTGTCAGACTCAGCTCAGGCGAACCCAGCAAGCTGGACAACTTTTTGACCCAACGGAGAACGGAGGCGTAGGAGACTGACAAAACGCAGGAAGCATTGGTCCCTCGCCCAAAGCGTCTACAGTAGTTGCACACCCAACCAATGATCCCGCCATCACGGAGCACGACTTTTTGTTCTAGGCCGCGTTTGAAGATCACACTGTCAGGCATGACGAAGATATCACCGTAGACCAGCTGTAAACACTCGCGCACTCGCAATAGGCCTGTATAACATAGCAGCATGACCAGACTAAGTTGTGGCCGATTGAGCATCAAAGCCACAACAACCATGGATCTGATCAGCTCAGGCGGCGCGGCCGGCACTTGCCGCGGGGGCTGCTCCACCCCCCATGCGTCATAGACCCGCAGTACGGAATGATGAACGAGGGTTCACCTTTTGCATTGCAGATAATGCCCAGCCATACTCATGACGTCCACGGCCAGCCTCATAACCATAACCATCGAGAACCCACTCTGCTAGAAAAGCATCCTGCTCGCCTTCACTCATCATCCCCCATACTAACCCTGTTCCTTTCAGTTCATTGCTGAAGTGATGATGAAGCGCTCGCGTGTACTTCTCCTGAGTGGCAGGCCTCAATGCTTTTAGCAAGAAAGCCTGGACATGGCTCAATCCAGGACCATTTGACATGACGATGCCCCCCCCAAAGGATCTCTGAAACTGCATTGGAGATCCAACGGTTGCGGTTTGTAGGGCATGCAATAGCCTTTGGCTCTGACTTTAACGAAACGATCCAGAAAGTTCTCAGCTAAAACCAGACAAAAGGCCGAAGGATACTTCGCTGCCGGAGTCGTCTTGAACTCACCTGCCTCCGAGAGCCCTATCAGATGGAGGTGTTTATGACAATGATTGCACCTGGCATGTACTGCTGCCGAGTTTTGTGGCAACAACAATCCAGTGGGTTTCTTGGTTGCTGCTCCATACCTGCACTGATGCACCTCGCTATAAAGTAACCCAAAACCTTCACAGATCTCCCGCACTTCAGCTGAACCAAAAAGGACGGGAAAGGCTCGCCCGGATCAGCGGGGTGCTCCAGTCCAATCCAACCTCCATTGATTCGAATTTCACCCAACAGACCAAGCCACACGAGGAAAAGCACTGAACCTACAGTCACAGAATGCATCTCTTTGGCAGTGCAGCACTCCAAAGCATCCCAGACCGCGGACCTGTTTCTGAGCGGCCGTGGCCCATGACGATTACCTTTGAGTGACGCATGTCTTGCCCGAGACGCTGTGCTGCAAGGCGGTGACGCAAAGCCGCCGACAACTTTCTTGCTGTGTATCAGGTCTAACACTTGCAAAGCATCACGCGGCTTCAGCAGGTCATTGGAGAAATGTGGAAAATGTTTGTGACTGGCCAAAGGGTCGATCCGCAAAGTTATGATGTTGCATTCCTGAAGTGCACCGATCTGCTCAATGAAACTGCACAAGTCATCATCCCGAGCCGGCCCCGCACACACATGAATAAAGAATAACCCATCCTCCGGCCAGGGCTAAGCTCCCTCAGATCTGGTTCATAGCTGGGCTCCAGATTCCCATAGCCGCGAAGGGGTATCGGCAGGGTTTTCTTTTGAGGGCACCCAAGGATAGAACACATCATGGCCTCCTGCCACATTGATTGCGCAAACTTTGCGGCAGCGACGGTTTAGCTGCCGAGAACTGGACCTACCCTTTGTCAAACTGCCTGCGCATGCCGCCGAATCTACAGCATGTACAAACCTGCAGCCATCATCGGCTGGCCTGCGGAGGATCTTCTCTTCTGCAGCCCACGCCAGCCGCTGCCAGACCAGTCTGATCCCGGCCATGATTCGCCATCTCTGTGGCGCTTGTCCGTGTGAGTAGACGGCTCCTCGCCCAATCGTTTGTCCCGTTGTTCTTTTTGACGATGCCACAGGAAGATGGAGGTGTCGCCTTTGTTGTGCTCGATTCGCAGCTTCCGCTGCACTTGGCCGTGCTTGGGCTGATAGAAGATGACCCTGTTCATGCCACCGCTCTTGCGGCTGGTCTGGTCATAGATGCACTTGACAGTGGACGCCACGATTTCAAATTTGTCATCAATTTCCACCAAAGCATTCATGTCGGGGTGGTCCCACATCCTCTGGAAGCCACCGCATCAGCCTCCCCCAATGTGATATGAGTTGGTTGTCAGGGCGCCCGAATGCGATGCCACTTTATGCGCTCAACCGGAATCCTGACTCGTCTCAGCGGGCACTTGTGCTCTACCGTGAGGCCAATGCCCCGTCGAAGTGACAAGTTGGTGTATGTGCGACCGTGATCAGAATACCTTGCAATAGTTTGCACCACGTGTTTAGGCACGACTCCCCAGGCACGACCAATACCAGACATCGAAGCATCAGTACACTCCAACCGGCAGCTCCAATCAGCAGAGTCGAAACTACTGAAGGGCAAAACCATGTCTGAGACCGCTAGCTCCAACCCAACTTTATCGGGAATCTGCACTTTGTCCCGCCTGCACCCACGGATTGAAGCCAGCCAAACGTAGCTGTACTCGAAGATAGACCTCAAGCACGGCCGAGCTGAATGAACAAGCCCGTGCTTTCCAATCAGCCTGTCAATGACCCCTACCAGGACTGTCTTCAACTGCAACACATGGATTGTAGACTGGAATAAATGGCGTCGTTTCTCCAACGAAACGCCTACCCAGTGACCTTGAGGATGTACATAGTAGCCTTGTATCTCCTCGCCCAATGCATTGTCTACAATCTTCTTGACATTAGGTTCCACACCATGCTCAATCCAGGACGCCTCTGCGGCATCCATCCACGACGCGCCAATACAAGCCTCCTGCTAGTTTTGGGCGTGCTCCAAGGACCAGATATCATCAACAATTGACCCCCACAACGGCAGCGACTGCGGCATAGGCGCTGCACATGACGCTGGAAACATGTGAGAGACAGTGCCTGTTTTGCCGCGAACCCGTACGGGAGGCCCACATAGCCAACGACACCAGCACCTCCCAACACGCAAGCGATGGAAGTAGTGTCTTGCATCTCTCGATACCAGAACGAAACCCCCTGGAGGCACTGTAACAGTCCGTAGTTTCGGGATGCAAATCTTGGCGAGGCCTGTCAGGATCAAGAAATTGATTGACCGCCTGGGATCCCTGATCACCCGGTCTTCCCACTGCGAACGCTCCGGCCAAACAATAAACCCCTCTATGCCTTGCCACTTGGGATGGTTTCTTCCAGGACTGCAAGCCTGCCTTAATGTTACGCTTAACCAACTCTGGATATGAAGATGACACCCACGTGTAACCATGCTTTACACGCTTCGGCCTCCGCTTGGATGGCAACATGAGGGCCTTCGGACGAATGACCTGTTCTGCCATCTCTGGGAATGTACACTGCAAATGTTGGTCCAACGGCACGTCGGCTGCTTTAGCAGGTACACCTCCTCTAACACCCAGAGCCAACACTACCCCGTTACCAGAATAGTGCTCAGACTGCTTTAAACAAGTGTCAAGACCTTCTCTCGACAAAACGGGCTCATCGGCCAACACCAATGCCTCCAAGGCACACGCTATCCGAGCATCTACCCGTCGGTGGGCCGCAGAAAGAGCCGGAACTGTATGCCTGCCCCCCTGCCCCCCATGCAGCATGTTGAGAATAGCCAGCACCAAGTTTGCCCCCTCCACCAAGCCTGTACACGGCTCGGGGGACCCAGCCTTTGCATCCGCAACCACACGACCGCCACAACTAAACGGTGGCAAAGGAAAAACATGCGCTTGAGGATGCCTCACGCCTTCCCCCTTTTGGTATTTGACTTTCTTTAAAAACCCACAAAAGTGACGGACTTCATCTGCCAACGGGCTCGCCGAGCATTGCCTACCCAATACATTGCCCAAGCCGGTCACAGCACTGGAATAGAACGTCCCAAAACCCCTCAGCAGCCATCCTCCCCGTCAGGCGGGCGCATTGCCCGCCTAAGAGTAAGACTTAGCCGTTCGTTAGGGCATGGCGGAAGAGCCTTGGCAGGCAATACGAGGTGCACGCGGACAAGTACCTGTCAGGCTGCCTTTCCTCTTGAGGCCTGGGCTGCTATAGGAATGGAAGCACGCGGACCCATCTTGGTCCGAGTGCTCTCAATCGCTCCATTGCAACAAGCAAAGGACACCAAGCTGGAAAGGCAACTGCGGCTATGTTTGTCCCTGCGACTGCTTGCCCGCAGTTCTGACACGTTGTCTTGTTTTCCTTTTATCGAGCAGGGTCTCGGTCGAGGTTGCCTGAAACCATGAGGGTTTCTTCCAGCTGGCAGTTCTGCTCAGCCTGGCAAAGTTTTGCAGAACTCGCAAGACTCCGACTAAACTGCAAAACTGGCACATCTGGCACATGCAGACTTGCAGGCATCATGAGCAGATGCTTTCTGCCTGCGCATCATCCATTGGCTGGATGCCTCGCAGTACCGCCCACCGTGGTCCGCCCTCACCTCACCCTGGAATGAGAAGCTATGAACGCCTGAACGCCTTCTGCTTGAGGGTATGAGTCTGAAAAGACCATTGCTGGAACCCAAACCTCTCAAGCGAAGTATACTCTCGAGCCTGAACTCAACCCTCTAATGCTTGAAGTTTTTGCTCGGAGACAAAGGATCAAAAAGACTCACGGCGCCTCGGAGAAGTGCACAGAGCGGAAGCGGCAGCAGTATGGCACAGCGACATAGTGCAACAAAGAGAGGAAGCTGTGCCCAGGAGCGGTCCTGGACCGGATGATGCTCACATGCTATGCCGCTGTGCGAGCTTGAGGCCTTGTCTGGGGTTCGCGGTTCGAGGACTCGGCAAGAATGCCCAATGCGAAAAGAGAAACCGAAGACTCCAACGGTCGCCTCCCCGGAGCCGAGGTCGAAGGCCTACCAGGCTCTGCCGTCTCCAAAGTCAATGCTTTCCCGGCATCTTGGGAAGTTGGCTTAAGTCAGCACGGCTCAACGACTGAGGGCAGGGTCGTGCCATCTCGCGCACTGTCAAAACAATTCTTCTTATGTCGGAGCTGACGCTTTTGAATCTGCGGGCCTGGACGATGAAGGACGCCATGCGAGCCGAGGCCTGGCTGAGCACTGAGATCCCTCACGGCTAGGCGTGGTGAGCAAGACAGAGACTTGAGATCAAGAGAGCAAGTTATGCAAGCGATTCAAGCTGGAACGTGGGGAGACCGGGAACTTGCTTCGAGCTTGTTTTGTCGGGTCACCGAGAGCCTGATCACCGAGATCCAGAATAAGGCTCAGCACGGCAAAGCCAGCAGCCTCGAAGTCCTGCAGCCGAGTCCATGCAGGTGCCGCTACTGGCAGATACGCATCAAACTCGCCGAACGCACCTTTGCAGGGGTACATTGTGGATTTGGAAGCAAAATGTCCGGAGCAAAGGTGAACGGACCGGAGCAAGAAGTTTCGACATCCTTCTGCGGATATTCTTGCGATGTTTTGGAAAAGGTGCGGGCGTGAGAGGGACTATACCATCAGTTCTCAGTGCACAAGCCACTGGCGATGTGCCGAAGCGGAGAACGCATGATTATGAACGTGTCTGTGAATCCTACCTCATCCGTCCCAGCCCCCACCTTCTTGGAACCGACTTTCTCATTGCTGCTTTTGTACCTGGCTTTCCCATCGTCCTTGTTTGATTTGCCCCCCGTGGCTTTGTGGAGCTGTGCAGGCTTTGGTTGACGCGACGGCTGCGGGTGCTTGCAAGTTTGCAGGTTTGCTGGGGCGTTCAGAGCTTGAGAGCTTATATCTGAGCATCACCAGATTATTCGAGAGCATGCCGTGGTGGCCAACCGCTTGTGTCCGATAGAACAAGCAATTGGGGCTAAGTGGGAAACTGGCCGAAACTTCACCAAAAGCCTGCATGCTCCAAACCCACAAAATGCCCTGCACCATCAAGTTCTGGGCAACAGATCCGGGCAGGTGCAAATGTGCAATCTTCGCAAAGAGGAACACCTTTCCGTCGAGTATGGGATTGGTTCATTTCAGCATCTTGGCTGTGAATCGGCTGGTGCCAAGACTAAGACCTCTCACTAGTGAAGCCCCGCTCAACCTTGCCCACAATCCTACCAGGAACCGAATTGCAATGCGGCCCATCTCCTTGGGTGCGCATTGTGCGCAAATGGCCAAGTTCGGAAGGAAGGCGAGGCTATCGACCGCGCCTGGAATCGCGTGACAGAGTTTTGTGACTGACACGCAATCGGCAAGTTGTCTCTTGTTGGAAATCAAATCATGGGCACGGCTGCACGGTACTGGGATGACTTCATTTGCGACAAAGAAACCAACAGCTGCTGCACCCAAGGCATAGATCCAGGGCATGCCTGGACTTTTCTGCCAGAAACTCTTGCACAACCAGCCGTTCGAGAACATGCGGGGTGGTGCAACGATGCAACACGTCGCGAGACCAGTGGATCGCCGTGTGCATTCCATGACAGGGTGCTTGGGCTCGCAGCAACCAGCAAGCACTGCACGGCTGCTCCCACAAATGCCTCTGCAGCGTAGGACTCGCTTGCTTAGTGGTCACACTTATTACGAAAAAATTTTACAGCCCTGATCAGAAGCCGAGCATAAGAGCACGTAAACCTCATTGCCTTTTGCGGGTACTCGCGGAAGCGGTACTTGAGCAGTCAAGCTGCGAATGTCAAACGAAGTTGGCAAGAGACCTAACCAGCATAATAGCACAGGCACATGTACGCATGTACCTGGTAAATCACACCCCCTCGATGCGAGCTCACGCGTGAGAAGAGCGGAGTTAAAGAGTACCACATACACTGATTGTGCATCGAGCCACACCTCTTCCGGACAGCAAAGCTTGAAACATACTTAAGCCATTAGATGTGGGTCGAGTTCTGCATCTGGATCGTACCCATGTTTCACTCTGCACAACGCAACCTTTGATCGTCAGGCGCATAGCGAATTGCCATTCATCGTATGCAATCAGGATGTACCCTTTGATCGTAGCCGTAGCGGGTGTAACGCAACAGACTCAACGCGCTCAGAACAGCAGCTCGGCAGCATCGAGTGTCAGAGAAAAGAGAGAGAGACACGAGGAAACTTCCATGGCTAGCCATTGTACCCCTGCGGGTCTTCTCAGCTTCGGCAAGGGCAAGGAATGCTGAGGAAGTGACGGAAATCGTATCAAAGCTAAGATCCACCATCAGATTCGATCTGAACACCGACGGTACTGTTTCGTCAAGGGGGTCCAAAAGAATCAATCGGATCCGCTCCACCGTGACACGGTACGTCGTCACATCCATCATCGGTCGGCTACCTACGATTGGTGGGGCTACGTGTGCGGTCTTGCTTTGATCGTCCACCGCCAGTCTTTCCTCTTCCACCTTTATCGCCCTTTCCTCGACCTTTGTCCTGTTTGCCTTTGCCCTTGTCGTTCTTTCCTTTTCCTTGGGCCTTGCCCCCGCGCTCGGTCCTGATGAAATCATCGTGCTCCTGAATCAGACCGCCAGCGCCGGAGGTAGATCGGGATTTGCCCTTCTCAGTTGCATCCTTGGCGGCACCCATTGCACTGGGACGAGATGCCATAGAGCTTTGAGCTTGGCGTCCGCGCGAGGCATCAGCACGAAGCTTTGTTGCCTTAGCCTTAGCCGCGCTCATCGGTCCGGCTTCCGGCATGGATGGAGCCCAAGCTGCCAAGCTTCATCACGGGCAGCTTTGAGGGGAGGACGTGGAGCATTCCTTGGTCCCGTGCCTCCGTAACCAGGGTTGTGATTTGTTCAGTCGGAGCAGCAGAGGTGCTCCCTGGAGCCGGAGCTCTTGGAGTGGGATTCGGATTATCGGCAATGGCCACTCCAGCAGCCGCTACATTGATAGGATCATCAGGATGTGCGTGCATGGCAATAAAGGCTCTGCGGAACGCTTCTTGATGACCGGCAGCTGATCATGCTGATGATACAGTCGGATGAGATGCTCATTCCCATATCCTCATCCGGAACTTTGGCCGTCATCCTCAACACATCGGGCATCGCGTGCTCGTTGGCGTACTTGGATCTCCCGGTCACACGCAGAGGTTCCCCATCGACATGGGGGAGTGCATATGACTCTCTCTTCGTAGTCCTGCGCTTAGGCGGGTTCCTCGGCGGCGGCATTTTAATACTCCAGTTGAACCTGTTCTGTTGATCGGCGTAGTAGATCCCATCCGGGTAGTTTATCGGCTTTGTGCACGAATGGCACTTGTGAAGACCCGCAGGGAACTTCTCAACTTCTCCGTACACATCGGGCAGGTGAAGCTGGCAAGTGGCCATCTCTCGCGCTGCTTGCTACGCTCGGGACCCACGCCGTACTTCGGCCCACCAAGATACTAACTTGAAAGCTGTGTCGAAGATAGTCGCCCCAGTATCCATGAAGTATGCGATCGGCATACATGCGAGGGGAGTCGTATCTTTGAGAGCATAGTAAGTAGCCTCTCGGGTGATAGGACACCGGATTGATACCCGCGGCATACATATGCAGGTCGATAGCAAACACAATCATTCTGTTCGGCCCAACGCCCTCGGGTAACAGGCTCGCACTCATAGCCGCGTTCGGAAGCGTCTCTCGGCCTGGATTCGTTCATGAACACTTCCTCCCACTCGCTGTTGTTGCCTGTCCCGGACGCAATCGGCAGCAGAGTGATGAATAGTTGCCCCTTCGGAGGATTGAGCTGCTTGTCGCTCATATATCGGAAGAACACTCGAATCGTAGCGCAGCCCCAGCCGTACTGCGGGTGCTGTCCTCACTCGTTGGCCATTGTTGCACTCTTCCTTGGCGAGCTGCATGAATGGCCCAAGAGGAGAGTTGATCATTGCACGGAATCGGTGGAAGCTACCGGGACCGAAGCCGCACATGGCCCGGATTCCAACAAGCTGTGGAGTTCCGTCCTCGTTTATCGTAGAGTAGAAGAACTCAAACATCCGGTTGTTGTCGGTGCGGGCAAACCCAATAATACATCGAAGAGCCAACGCTGTCGGTTTATCGTCATCATCAGTGATGTGGGTTTGGAGCAGAATCCGACCGCCATCACCTGAGTTGACCTTCATGTACTGCCTCTCACGCTCCATGTATATCGGAATGATGTCAAAAGCGACAACACCGCTCTTATCGTACGTGTAGTACACAGGCACGCCCCTCCCATGATCATTCTTCTGCTGGGTCGTGGGTGCACGCCCTTCAGGCAGAGGAGGGTATTCCTTCGCTTGCGTGACCACCCTGAACAGCAGCCCGCGAAAGAGATTGATCAGTCATCGATGGGATTCTCTGTGCTTGGTCGATAATCAGAACCAGGGTGCCGGCTTTTCCTCCCGTGACCTCTCCGGCTTAGTTACTGGCCCGAAGCTGACCAGAATTAAGCCAAATTAACGACCCGACCCGACCTCTGAAATTAACGGAAATAGGATGCGACCCGACCTGACCTGGGCTTATTTCCATATGCCAAATTATTATAATTTCCCCAGTCTATGCCGACGACCTCGAGTCCCTCGGGATAGGGGCCAAGGGGAGACAGGGGATACCTTTGAGCTATCTCTTCCTTTACGTCCTGGGCGATCCCTTCAAGTGGGCGAAGACTCGAGGTGGCCATTGTGTGGAGTGGCTGGGGATGGAGACGGACTACGCGAACTACATTGGCTAGCTAACTGGCTTGGGAGTCGAGCTCCGGGAAGGTCGTGGCGAAGGAGATGCAGCAAGGTTTGGGCCGGCAAGGCTTTGCAGCGATAGCGCCCGTCGACTGGGAGAGACCCTTCCTGGGCCCCCTCCATGCTGGGTCCGCGGCTACCCACGTTCGTGAGGGGCGACTCGTGAACCCACGATGCTGCGTGTCCTCATGACCTGGCTAGCCGAGAAGCTCACCTCGGGCGACCGCCTCCAACGTCCAGTTCGGCGACTGCGAGGGCTACCGCCACTGAGTTTCTATTACACTGATGCTAAGGCGGAGTCCACGAGAGCATGGATAGGGGGCTTCCTGCAGCTAGATCAGCAAAATAAACAGGTGACTTGCATCATTTTGGTTACAAGGCCTTTTTCTGGGAAAGCCACTTGGAGGCCATTTGACAACAATCGGATGTTTTATTGCACAAACTTGTCTGATATCTTCGCCAAGCGAATCCTCGAAACAGAAAGCGCTCTCGCTCGTTCACATCTCAAGATATTCCAGACAAAGGGTGAAAGCATTTTCAAATCACTTGCTTGGGCCGGTTTGAGCCAGTACGGTTTGAACCACAAAGTTAAGGTTGAAGGCTTTGAGTTAGGGTGCAAGGCTTTAAGCTCGTAAGGTTAGGGCCGGGTTAGGGTACAGACGAGTCCATTCCCTTTCTAAACAAATGAGACTGTATATTGATTGTTTGATTGAGTGAAAGCGCCCTGTAGGCCGATATATTTGGGGGTTTGAGCCTGGGATTCATCTGGGTTCCAAATTTGGCTTCTTGGCTCGGCTTAAGGTGTGGCTACCGAATGTTCCCGATGTCCCTCCCGCCCCTCCCCGACGATTTCTCACCGGTTTCCGAACTTCTCCGACCAGTGCTGCACTGCAGCTGCCAAATATCTTTTGATCGCTGTTTTATGTACAGCTGCGGCATGGCGCCCACTGGCCTCAGATCGGCTCCCGCTGTTTTTCAAGTTGTTATCGTGCTCCATACGTAGCCTGCCAGCTTCAGCCAAGCAACTATCGAGCAGAGCCGGCGGACAAAGTCTTCATCACCAAAGCACGACATAACCCGACACATGATACCATGTGTGCAGCCTGATCTGCGGCGCGTTTTCTCTGCAAATCACACAGATATGTTAATCATATTGCATTCGATTTGTATAACAAAAATGTATACAGTATACACGTAATGCAGTGCTAGGGTCTTCGGTCTCAACTTGTACCGGTGTTTGTCGGCACAAAATGCATCATATGCCAGGTA